GTACCACTAAGAAGGACACAGAGAAGAACGCCACAGCTCCAGGCATCCACGGGCTTACCATAGGGTTCGTGTCGCACCATTTCCGGGCTCATGTAATGAGGTGTGCCAATACGTCCTAGATAAGTTAAAGTTATGTTAAGAATTTTTGCATCGGAGTTATGCAAAGCATTAGCAAATGGATGCTACGTTCATTTGAGGAGGGACGGGAGGGAGGGAGGGAGGGGAAACGCTTAATCAGCGTTGACGTTCAGTAAGTTAATATTTCACCAACTTCTTTCTTTCTATGACAATTTCTATATTTTCTCTTATAAATTACTTTAATAAAGGGGTGTGCGATAGACTTACCTCCGCGTGATGCACCCTGGGCAACGTATACTCATACGGCAAAAAAGTCTATTAATCAGCAGCTGACTTCTGACTTCAAACTACTACCACCCCACTGTATGTCATATTCCACAAATTCCACAGTACTCATCTTTTCTCTAGTTTTGTGTCTCTCTGTCTGTCTATTCTACATCTTTGAATCAATCTTTTGCTCCCCATCTCGAAATTTTCTCACTTAGATGTTCCTCCCTCTGTGAAGCCCAAAGTTAGCTAAATGGCTAATGACAACTATTCAAAACGCCTGCCATTTTAAATAATAATATTTCAATAAATGTTCTAGTGAACGGCATGAATATGATTATTTGCAGTAACTTTATCGTCTCTGGTGGTCAAAAAAAGAAAAACTGTTAAAAGTTACAGATATTGGAACTTTTTAGCAATAAATACCGAGTTACTATGAATTTCTAAGAATGTCATAATAAAAAATCTTGAAACATTTTTCTAACTTAAGAATCATTCTAAGAGAAGATATCCATATTTAAATGGTAATATATCCTGTATCCTACAACTACTTAAAATATATCCAATGTTTATAACATTTCAACCTATTTAGATCTCGATTTTGATTCGCTAATGAAATTTTACAAGCGGTTTTTCGGCCAAACTGAAAGTTAACATTTCATGGATTTTTACTTTATGCGTGTAATTTTAAATTATGAGTTAAAAATCTAAATTAAGATTGCCAGAAAACGAGTTATCACATTGTCGAGAAATGTAAAATCGTTTAAAATTAATACTATTTTTATTTGATAAAATTAACACTGTTTCATTTTTTTCTTCCAAGTATTATTTAAAATGACGCGTATTCCATTAATTCCATTTTTAATCTTATTTATTATGAATTGCTTTAGGTTATGCATATTCCAAGTTTAAGCTTGATGCAATATCGAGCCTTTTCTTCCTCTCAGTCTGGAATTGCAGTTTGTTGAAAAAAAACACAGCCATAAATAAATGAGCTAATTAGCAAGGTAAATTGAAATTGCGTATATCCTATAACCCTCTTATTTTATAGAAATTTGATTTTTGAAACATCTACTACATACGTATATGCAACTGATTTACTTCCACTATTGGTAAGAAACTAGTGAATTCCATTTTACGAACAAAAAGTGAAATAAACCCTTTCAAAAGGAGCCTAAAAAATTTTAATTTCAAATTTTTGAAGTAATCAAGTAGTAAATCGGTTTTTTAGTATTTAGGTATGTGATAGCGTGAAAGCATAAAAGGATATAGTAAAAGAAGACTGTTTAACAAGCAAATTAAAGCTACATTCACAAATAGCATGTTGATACAAATTGGAGCAGTCACCTAGCTGAATATTGGCAATAGTTTTAATTTAAAGAGCTTATTAGATTTTTGCACAGCTTTTTGAAAATGGATTCTCTGTGTACTTTACCTTTCTACAGTTCAAAGAAGGCACTTATTGGCAGTTTGAAATAAAGGTGTCAATGTAAGTAGACATATAAGAACCAGGAAAAATTAAAATGAAAAGCTCTAGAATACGTCGAGTGTGAAAGATTGATAGGATTAGAAAATAGTGAGTAAATAGTGAAAAAACTCATTTTTATCAGAGAATAAAAGCAGCTTTCCTCTATATCTCAAAGAAGACAAATATATTAAACAAAGGATGGTGTCGAAAAATGTTTTCATATGAACGTTCATCATTCCTCTTACCTGACCAAAGATACAATACTAAACATTTCCTCAATATTTCAACATTAACTTTCAGAATAATTATTTGCTTATAAAAATTGCAAATAAGAAAATGATATTTTGGTGTTTCAAACTAAAAAAAAGACTAAATGTATCCTTTTTTACCTGAATTGGATTCCAGTGGAATCCTATAAAGTAATTAACGATGTATTTAACTTTTTTGACTCTTGCTACAATGAACAAACTTTTGCAAATTTAAAACCAAATAAATTCTAATATTTTAAGTTGTATAGTTTAAAATTTAATTTCACTTTTATTTTCAACTGATATTTGTTTTTACAACTATTTGCAGAAAATTCATTTTTTGTTGTCAAAATGTGCTCATTGAAAAAATCATACTTTTGCGAGATTGGCTGTAAATTGAAAAATCATAACGCAAGCCGATTAATTTTCAGTTTCTCCAGCACTTTCAATTTTAATAATTTTGGTTGAAAAAATAAAGTATTTTCACAAACCGTATGAACATTAGTCGGTATTGTGTACGGTGGAATTTACTTTGATAGAGTGAAAAGATGACCCTGAAAATTAAGTAAATATGTTTTCTCTGTGTAATTAATATTTAATTTTACTTCTTTATTGCATATTTGTTTAAAATAATACTTTTGGCATATTTTTAAGCAAACCATAATAATTAAATGCTGTGAATTGCCTTAGGGTTTCGTGTTCATTCGCTGAAGAAATCGCCAATTACCCAGAAAAGAGATTTGAAAGGTACACACCAAAAATGTTCTTCGGGTATATGGTTTTCTAGATGAGGCAACTGTCATGGTTCTATCAAGTTAAATTACCATTTTTCTTAAACTACAAGTTTGTGAAGCAACAAACTATTACTGATAACTATATTATGTTTACAAGTAAGTAAAACCAATTTTCTCTCTTCTGTTTGCTCATTCTTTAAATTGTACTTCGAAAAGAATAAATATAATAAGATTAAAGGTTAGCATAGCGAAATTTATCTTTAAGTAAATAAGCCCATTCATTCTCCAATAAATTCCACAGGTCCAGGCGTTGGATATTTTTCCTTTAAAATAAATGAACCTTTCTAATTTTGGCTCTTCTTTAGTAATATTAGAAAAACACCCTTTATATTATAATAGCTTAATATTTAATGCCCATAAATGCAATGCGAAATCCTTTCTAAATACTTAACAGTATTAGAGGTAGTAATAAAAATCACATAAATACAAATCCACACCACCGCTGTTTTATAAGCCTCATTAACGATAGAATTGCAAAATAAATATATCAGAGGAAATCTAGGGGAAAATTTTACTTTATAATAGTGAAAGTAGTGAAATTAATATCAAAACGTGGACACTTTAGACCTTGTAGAAAACCCGTGGTCTAAATTAAGCAATAGCATTTTTTCACTCAAGTGCTGACTTTTTTAGAATTGGCATACTTACCGCATTGATCGGAACGCAAATAGACAAAAATTTCTTGATCAACAGTGAATGGAGCATCTGGAAAATAATATGAAAGATCTTTTAGCAAAAGAAAAGTGCAATTTCAATGGTTTTAAAAAAATTTATTAATTTAATTAACTGAGAACCCCATTTGGAATGATCTGTTGAAGCCAACTCTGACCGACGTTTAATTAAGAGCAAAGTAGTCAGTGCCCCGCTTGGCATTCACTAAAATACCTCAACTGTAAACGAAATTTGAAAACCATTCAAGATTTTTAATAAACAAAGTCTACTTTTAAGCTGATGTAGAATAAATTACCGATATTTAGATTTAATGCATGAGGTAAGAATTATAAATAAGAGTACTTTAAGTACTTTCTTTAAGGCTAATTAAAATGCTTGAATTATGCTTAAATGCAAATAATTCGGTAATTATTTATCATGAGACGGAAAATGTCAGCATTTATCACCTTCTAATTTTTCAAGCATTCAAAACTTTAACGTTTAATGAGCTTTAATGATCCCCTTATGGCTTAAAAGAAAAAGGACGTAAAAATACTACAACTTGTCTTTCAAAGCAATTAGTAAATGCACAATTTATTATCTTATGCCGTATCATGGTAGTTCAAAAAAGGAAATTCATTGAATCTATCCTATTCAAATAGAAAGTGCAGATATTGAAATCTCTGTAGTATTCAATTTTACATCGTTTTATCAAAATAATAAGTTACTTTTAGTTAAAGTTAATTAAACTACTATTACAGCACTATTCTTACAAAGGATTTACGATCTGGAACATTGGTATTTATTTCCTTAAGCAAAATTTTCACATATTCCTATCAGTATTAAATTGCTTGGTTTTTGTTGATTAAGTCGAGTTTTACTTAAAAATAAGTATATCTTACCAGCGGAAAAAAATCCCACTTCGGGTTTGAGGAGATCTGCGATACCGAACCCGCCAACTTTGGCGGGCGCGGAATTTTGCTTGTTAGCGAGAACAACACAGTGCGGTTTGAGATCGCGATGCACTATGTTGTTTTCATGGCAGTATTTAATGGCCTCGAGAACTTGTCGCATGTAGTGACTGCAAAAAATGTCACTTGAAAGGATATATGCGTATAAATAAACTATTTTCCTAAATCATTCGCTTAGGTCATTCTCAAAATTAAATATGCGAAACCCATTAGCCTTGCCTATGTTGCAAGCACTAAAAAAACATGTAAGCACATTGAATCGTCTTTCTTTGTTTCAAATAGTTGGGAGGAAATCGATAGTATAATCAACACTTCACGGCAATTAGCCACTCAATAAACCTTTGACAATTATGAAATGAACTATTATTGATATACAAATGATATATATTCTGCAGGATTTGAAGCTTCGGAAAGTAATTTTGTATTTCTGTGAAATATATGCTTATTGATTAGAAGTATGACTATCATATTATGGTTGTGTTCACAATACTTACCATGGAATGAGATTTGCTACCCAGGCACTACTTTTTATGATAAATTAGAATTCTGCCGCTTATCATGTTCATGACCAGTATGGTCGATCATAGGCGTTACTGAAAGTGCAACGAAGAGCAACACGCTACCGGGGCATATGGCAATCCATACCATTTCTTCACTTCCTCATCTACCCATACCATGGTTTATCTTTGTTCTTCAAATGGTTTGTTTTCTCTTAAATTCGATAAAAAATGCTCATCCATTATTAGAGCAGCACAATGGTTTGCTTAATCATTGATATCAATAAGGCAACTAACGCTATGCCATTGAAGCATAAATGGTGCTATTAGCTAGGTGGGATATAACTTAATCTTTCGGAAGTGTAAAAATCAAATCTCCGACGCAAGTAAATAAATATTTCATTATTCAGAAATTTTAGCCCTGCTTTAATAAAGTTCAAAATATTATCACATACTAGGGATTCCCACTTTCACGGTCCACTTAAGTTAGTTGAATTTTCAAGAACAGAGTTTTATAAATCATATTTTTATTCAAAGACGCTTATTTTCGTTGGCTAAATTTTCATTACCACAGCAATTTGAAGATACGTCATTTCCAATTGATGGGAAAACATAACATTATATGAAGTATGTTTATAGAATTCTCAATTTGCTTCTCATTTAAAGAGAAGTATGCCAAATAACTAATCGACTGATGAAAATGCGTCTTGGGGGATTTCACTTAATCTCAATTGTTTAACTGTCATGTCAAAAAGTGGCCATTTGACGCTTAAAAGTATAAAATGTTGAAGTTAACGGTTTTTCGCTCGATTAATCGGAAGCATATTGTGTGAATTCAAATTTGGCAATTAAAAAGGTTATTTACAGAAAAATGTGAGTTTCTTTGTTAAATTCCTGAATAAAGTACATATTTTAGTAGTGAGCTTTCTGGATAAATCCCTTTCATTGCATGGCACGAGACATGGCTTTGAAATTGAAGCAGGATTTCCAGTAGATTTCAACTAAATACTAAGGTTGGACGGAAACACTACATAGTCAAAGATAAAATTTTATGTTTAACAGCAATAATTGCGAATTACTTTGATTTTAAAGGTCAAAAGTCAAATTTACCAAATGCGAATTAGTGCCGAAGGTAAATTAGAAAATGCGGAAATAGCAAACAATAACTGAGAACAAGTATCATTCTTACAAATTAAAAATTTGATTATAATATGATTATTAATACTTATAACCTTGAGTAAATACGTCTTAATTTTACATCACATATGAGAGAAATAAATGTGGGTTTTACCTTGCGACAGCTTCACTATATATAAAACCGGCGGTTGCTCTTTTGACAATTTCGTGGCAAAGATCTGCTCCTTCCATACTGTTTTAAAAATAATAAATAATATATTTTTTATTGTAAAAGTATTGTTAAAAATATCTAAACTTACTATTCGAAAACCATATACAACATCCCATCACTGCTGTATGTCTCTATGAGTTCAACAATGTTAGGATGTTTAAGTAAGTGGCAGATGCTAGCTTCGCGCTTTAAATCTTTAAAAATAGAAAAAATGTGGTTAATAATTCATAAGCAATGTGATAATTTTGTATTTACCTGCAGTAGATAAACCAGGACTGCCAGTAAATTTGGTAATATCTATTATTTTAACGGCAAATGATTGCCCACTTTCGTGATGAACGCACCGACGAACAACACTAAATGGGCCCCTTAATGACAAAAGCGAACTTATTCAGATGAGATGTAAAGTAATACAACATCGATTTGATATTTAAGATAGCAATAAGTGTTAGCCAAACTTAACAGCTTTATAAAAGTGATATTAATTTTTGAAAAAGTCAAATACTTACAAGTAATCAAATATTAAATATTCTTAAAAAATCGAGAATGCAATGGAGATTTAGATGTTCTCGAATTAAATTAATTTTTATTATATAATGAAACAAGTGCACAACACTTAAGGAAACAGATCTTACTTGCCAATTATTTCGCACAGCTCGTAAGTGTTATCAAAGAGCACATCCTCGTCACTCATGCTTTCTTAAAAGAAAAAATTGTAAACTCTTATTTCAAACAGGGAAAAACTATATACAGCAAATGGGGATGTAATTTTGCTAGTTAAAACAAATAAGGTCAGTTTATATAAAGAGAACTTGATTAAACCCGATTAATTTAATAAGTATTTTATTAATTTATTTACCTTAATAAATCCAATGTTTATTGCATATTTAAATTTAAAGTAGTTCAATTGAAATTTAAAAGCATGTTGATATCTAACTTATCATTCATTCTAATAAATGCATTAATAAGCTTTCTACCGATTAAATAACAAATAATTAAGACTATTGTAAGTAATTTAGATGCCTATATAAAACAACGGCTTTTTTCTGAAATACGGAAACTTATTATAATATTTTCAAATAGTCTGTTTCCAACTTTAATAGCAAATAAGAAATGAAAATCCCTGTTAGTTTGAAACAAACCAATTTGACCGTTACATCTTGACAGTTTTCGGGCTTTCAATAAGAAAGTGCAAACGAATGATCTCTCAAGCTGTTATTAACTTTACATTTAACTGTGAAAAATTTCGTTCGCATAATATTGAAATATTCTTTATATCTCCTGCAGCATTTTCGGGTTTTTCTGAACAGAATATAATTTCTTAATGTATTTTAACTTACCTCTATTTAGATAATATTTATTACAAAAATCAACTTGATGATTTTGTTTTAATTGATAAGGACTTAAAATGTAAACATCCTCTTTAGTAGCTTTCTCTGTATAACTTTCATTCTTTAACGAAATTTTATGAATTACTGTACCATTAGGTATAACAAGCATGTAAAATTTTTTATGTTATTTTTTGGTGTTCCAAAAAGATGAACTCCTTCATTATATCAATCCAATCAGAATTTGTCATGATGAAAATCTGGAACAAGTATGAAAAAGTCGAGCACGGAGTTTGCCAACCAAATCACAACGAAAGTTTGAAAAATGGACGAATAAGAAATATCAAATCAATTTATTTTAAAAGAACGTAGAATAAAGTAAGGTCCCGAATGAAAAATACATTCGAACTTATTCAAGATGAATAGAATTACGCAGCTTTTTAAGCACTGCCTGGCCGTATGTTCGGTAATATCTACAGGAATTCATCAGATCATGTTCAATAATATATAGAAGATTTAGATTTTCGTCAGCAACATTTGCATCCTCTGCCCAGTTTATTGCTGCCGCATCTGCTGCAGAAATTCGAGTTGAAGGATCGACAGCAAGTACTTTTCTTAGATTTATTAAAAAGTTCTCACCAATCATTTGCATTGTTGGATGCCTGAATGCTTCTTCTAATAGCACATCGAATGGCTGCCTAAGATCATCTATTTTATCAAATTGAAAGAAGTTGACTCCAGTCAATGCAATAAGTATAACAACTCCCATGCTCCAGATATCCATCTCTTTTGTGGGGGAAAAATTGGATTCACTTTGGCGCCCATTTTCAAAAGTATCTGCTAGTCTCTTTATTTCTTCCGGTGAGGTGCAACTTTGGCAGGTAATCAGGGGATCATTTAAGAGATAGGCAAGTTCCTTTTTGATACTCAAATCTGGTTTGACTAACACTGAATGTGGGGCTGTATTTTGAAATAAAATTTTAGTTGGATTTAGATAACCATGGGCGTAACCTTGTGAATGAAGATAATCAAAGGCCCTAAATAAGTAATTGACAACCAAGAGAACATTACGCAATTGTAAAACGGGCTGCTGTAGCATCCAGTTAAATAAATCTCCAGACAACTGTAATTGAGATATGACAATAATTCTATTTGGCTCTGTTACAAAATCTATCGATTCAATTACGGAAGCTGCTGCAATTTCTTTTATTTTATTGGTTTGCTCGCGTACTTTATTTAAGACACGTCTTTTCAAATCCTCAATAGGAGTAAAGATATTGCCCAGGTAATCAAATTCCACTTTCTTTATGGCGACAATGCCGCCGGTTGTTAGATCTCGAGAGCCAACTGTGGTTGAAAATCCCCCATTGAATATTTCTCTGTAAATTAACAGTTTATTGGCATCGAACCCAGGCCAAGCAAATACGACATTTCCGTTGGTGTTTTCGTCGAATTCATCTTCAAAAGTTGTTTCAGGGCTAAACTCCATACTCTCAGGCGTGATTAAGAAATAAATCGATACAGTTTAAAATGGTCATCCTTGCAGGCATTTTCAGTAGTAATAGTCCTAAATTTGTGTATTATTTTGACGAATGAAATACCAAATGATGACTCAAAAGTAAATGTATATTTTCTTACTATGACATTGGTGTTGCTTTTCACATATTGCCAAAATGCACTGACTATTTCCGATTTTTATAAATATAAACATGAACAAAATAAAAAAAGAATTTTTACATTGAATTTTTGCTCAAAATTATGCTATTAAAATGTACTTAGTATTAGAGAAATTACAAATGTTGCTCATACATTTCTTGTTCTCTGAATTATTTCATATTATGCATGATATATCTTGCTGAACAGAAACGATGATTTATTCTGCATAAAATAACTATGCTATTCAAAAATTACCATTTTTTACGTTATTTGCAAAGTTCCTGATGTTAAAAAATACCAGTCATCTAATTAATAATTCATTATCAAATTATGAACCAGTTAAATAGGTAAATAAATGTTTGATAAGCATTCGTTTGCAAACTTGATATTGAATAAAAACATGGGCACACGGTTGCTTTATGGAACGGTAATCCAGGGGCATAATATTATAATTCCACCATACTTCGGAATGCATGTATCTTTATTTGTCAGCCAATATGAAGACAAAAAGCCCTAGTTAACAGAAAAAAACAATCACACCTTGATCATTTTTGATATTTTCTTCTAATTTGAAAGGGAATTGGAAGAAGGATATGTTTATTCCTTGTTAAGAAAATATAATTTATTTAAAGAGAAATAGATATGCTCTGAATGCGTTTCATATATTTATGAAAAATATTAGTATACTGTCTAACTTTAAATCTACAAATATTATTTTGGGTATTGTTCTGAAGATTAAAATATTGATATCGAATGAAATGGGAGGTTTATTGAAGGACATATAATTGGGTACTGTATTACCCAATCCTGTCTTTACGTACTTACACGTATACTCTAGGCTTAGCCTCTGGAGCGTTCGTTTCTAACAAAGGTGGGGTGTTTTATAGTTGTCATTACGGAATTTATCCTTTTTTTAATGTTATTAGTTCCCCTATATTTACGACTTTGCTTACTAGTTTGCTATTTTTGATATGGTGTATAATTTTTATTTACCTCATCTTATTGTTAAAATCTACGTTTGTATTTTGTTACATTAGTTGTACGAACTCAGTTTGTTTCTCTTTTTATCTTATATAGTCATTTATGTTTTGAAAAATAATTGAAAAACATTCAAAGTCACTATTTTGTACGCATTTTTTTATAACAGCGCGTATGAAATTTCCTATTAAAATTTCAGACGACAAGGAAGGATGAAGCTATTTTCCCTTCAAGTTCTGTATAAGTGCGATCCCAAACCCAAATTACTTCAGGGTGCCTATGAGCTTTCCAGTTTTGGCTTCTTCCAGCGTTCTAGCATCCAGGAATTTTTAGACTTTACTTCTAAGCTTGTTTGCGAAAGGACAGACTATTGCGCTAGATCGGCTGTACAGGAGAGAGGTTCGTTCTACTCGTCATTGCATTTCATTATTAGGAAAATTAGAATTTTTTTCACATACATTTATTGCCTTTAGACTACTTTTGTCACATTTTCGTCAGACATGATAACCTCTGTGGTGTCGTATTTTCTGACCAGGAGTATCCCCAAAGAGTCGCCCAAACACTACTCACTAAGGTAAAAATATCTTCATTGTTTGCTCTACGCTATATTAGTCCTGATTTTTCCACTTACGTGCTTCGCCATCACCTTTGATTTGGGTCGATCTTCTCTGGATTGCTTATACACTGATTTCGATGAAATTTATTGATAGTGGCATTATCTTTTTTTTTAATTTATTTTTTCACTTTTTTGTAAGCCCATAGCAGGTTTTTTGATCGCATCCTCTGCGGACTTAGATTTATCGTTACCATTTTGGATATTATCGCAGCTTAAATTTAATAAGTACCTGCAATGGATATTTAGTTCACACACTTCAACTTTTTTCAGCTTCTTTAATTTAAATTGTTGTGGATTAATAGGTCAGCTAATTACCATTTCTCCATCTTGATTTTTTATTAGGATTTACTTAAACTACGTACAACTAGTTGAATTGTTTAAATTTAATTTCACCACTGCTGTCAACTCGACCACGCTTTTAACGGACCTCGTATGTTGTAGTGCAGCCTTTAGCAGTACATGTGGACTGAACTCCATTTTTTATCTAGTCAGTTCATTTTACTTTCGTCGGAGGTCAAGGTGTGTGGACTTCCTGGCTCTTGTGATATAGCATGTGTGAGTTCCTTAAAAGTAAAACATAAGGTGCTATATTATTTATTTTTATACGAATGGGGGATGGAGTCATACTTTAACTCTAATGCAGGCCACTTTCTCACATTTTGTTGGGTTGGTATCTCCTGCTCTTAATATCTTCTCCTTATTAAAGAAAACAGAATTTCAATTCTTTAATATCTGCAATCTTTTAACCCCGTGAAAATTTAAGTACTAATTTCAGAGATGGCGCTTATAGACTTCCGATATGTGCACTGGTTTACACATTAAAACTTGAATTTCAATTTTCTTCAAAGTCGCTCTATGGCTTTGCGATTACGAGAACTTATCTTCATTTCTGTTCTCAATTTTTTCCTGGTGTGTCTCTATGCTCGCACGTTACGTGTCTTCCACGTATATAACTCCCACGTGAGCGAGCTGTGGATAAGTTCTTGTAACTGATAGTGTCAAAACTACCCTCTCCACAAAAAATGACGAGTGCCTCTTATTTTGTTTTTTGCGTTTATTTTCTCACATTGTATGCTGTATGGCTTTGAAAGGTAATCCTTAAATGGAGAATAGGGGTTTATATCCACCCTATTATTATTATTATTATTAAACATTTTGAAGCTTGTAATTAAGCATTTAAAAATGAAAGTAGAGAAAAAGTTTAAAGAGCAATCGAGAGAGTTATATGGAAACTTAAGTAAAATAAATTGAAGAACAGTTTTGCGTTTGAAATCTTATATCGTCAGATTTTCTACTTATTATTCTTTATCGACTTCTTTTAGACTTTAGAGGACTTTACAACCGAATACCCACCATCAACTTGGTCAACATTATCCACAGGGTATGTTAACAAATCACCTTTTTAGCATTTTACGAGTTTTCAAAGAGTTGATATCTTGTGCCACTGACGTTACCTCAAATGCCACTGCAGACTATCCTAATTATTTTTATCTCGTTTTACATTACGGATGCATGTTGCTCGGAGTAAAACTGCTCCTATTTACTTGTTAAATCTCTCCTTCTGCCTCTGTGCTAATTTGGTTTGCTTAAACTGTTGGCAAGGCAAGGCAGCTGACTTTTGTTCGCTTGTCCACCCCCCCCCCCCCCCCCCACCTCACGCAAAATAGTCACTTTCTTCTATCTGCCACCTAAGGGTAGTGGAAAGGGGTGGAGTACAACACACAGGAGTCCATGTGATGAATGTTCTGATTCTTGTCTAAGTTGTTTTATGCTTTATTGGATGTGTCCATTACTATTCCTGAATTTATATCTTTCATGAGATCAATTCTCCCTCATTCGCATGGATCTCAGTTTCTACATTCGTTACTTTGCGTTCTCATGAATGGTGACATGTGCACCCATTATGGAAATGTGTTCCATTGCAGTAAGTCCACTTGTAGGCACTAGTGCGAATATAGAAGGTAGTCTTCCCAACCTATAAACATTTACCTTCCCTCCCATAGGGATCGTAGGTCTGCTGGTTGTTACATAAGAACATTATCGTTCAACATATTCGGAATATTCTATTATCGTCAAGACTTTAAATGATGTCGCAGCTCAAGTTTAGAAATTCATACTCTAACTGTTGGTATTCAGTCTATAATCTAGAACCGATTTACTCAAAGCTGTTAAAATGAATATGCCTATTCTGTAAGACACAAGATGGAACTACGTTTCTAATATATTACTCAATATGCATATATTCACGTATTCGAACTATTTACTCGTCGTCTTATCCACATTATCAGAGCACAAAAGGGTCCTATGACGTACTTTCTTATCCATTGTAAATTATATTAGATTCATCGACTTAGATCCACTGTTCCACCCACCATGTAGGCAAATTTTGTGGTATTTTGAAATTTCTGGAAGGCCCTAGCTATAATTGCATTGTTGTTAGTACTTAAATATTGTGAGAATCCAACTTGGCAATTTAAGGCTCTATTCTAATTCGCCTACTTTTGCCCTTAAACTAGTTCCCAATTTTAGAACTTATCGATCATTCTTCTCTATTATCTATGTGGCCTCCAGCGATAACTTTTTAAAATGCAGTTTTTACGTTCATACTTTTTATTTTTTACCTTTGTTTTTTAGGGGAGCAAATATGCGAAAGTTGGGAGAATATCTCGTAAGGTATCAAGATCCTCACCAGGCGGATAGCTTAACAAGACTCCAAGCTGATGTTGCGGATACTACGCAAATTCTCGTAGGTTTCTCTTTATATTACTTATTGAATTGGAAATTTTTCGACAAATTACGTGAGGTTCCTGTTCTTTATGACATTCTTAAAGAACCATCAAGAATAAATTGTTAGTGTGGACATGTATGTTTGAAAAACGAAAAAGTTGGTTGGTTTATATTTATTCCTTACTTTTAAAAAACACTACGTAGTCTCGTATTGCTTTATATATCTGTGAAGATTGTAAATTTTCCCAATTTTCTGGGAATGCTAATTGCTCTCCATCAACCGATGCCGCAATGAGACTTCTCATAAGCCATTCTCATTCTATGACAAACGTTGGTGTTAAGTACGAATATGGTTTTGCAAAAAAAAAATTAGAATGAAATGAGCCACTAGTGCTTTGAATAAATAAATTAATTTTTTTTCAAGTGACGGCAATAGTGTCGCACTCTATTTGTGATATTGGATGTTGAATTTGTGTGCTCATTTTAAAACCGCGGTCGTTTTGGGTTGTTGTTTACAGTCCACTGTCGTCTTAGATAAGATTAAAATTATATTCTTGCCTAAGTATGATTGGTACAATCTTTTTTGGGGTTTGGTTTTCTCTCAATCAATGCAGGATGCTTGCTTATGAAGTAGCTTTTTTGTTAGATATCCCTTTATTAAATCATTCAGATGTTTTGAAATCGAGGATACGCTATCTTAATTAACCTTTATTCGTAATCGACAACGTGAATTCTTCTATGCTAGAGGTCAGAATTTCAATACTTATCTTTGTTCATCCATTTACTTCAATGACCAATAGTTCTGGCTTAAACAATTCAAGAAAGGGTCTTGTTGAACGTATTTTATCTTCTTCATCCACACCATTAAGCAATGGAAAGTATTCTTTCTTTTTGCGTACTTGCTATACCCATAGTCGGTCATTGGTAATAGTGTGTATTATAAACAAGTGTTTTTTTTAAGAATTTATGTGAGAATTTCCTTGATGTCTAAATGTGATTGCTCCTCTCTCACGCGACTCACTAATTAACTTTTCTGTTGGCATGTAGCAACAAACGCTCGAGACACTAATCGAGCGCGGTGAAAAACTCGACGACTTGGTCAGCAAATCGGAGGATCTCAGTTCTCAGTCAAAACTTTTCTACCAAACTGTAAGTACATTTTCTCCTTTTGTGTTCTAAGTGTGTTGGACACTGTTTTTCCAATGGAGTTATTTTTAACGAACTCATTACCTTATAATTGTTTTTATTTGTATTTGAACTTTTCTCATAAGTAAATATATCTTTTAGTAAGATATAAACTGTAACAGAAATTCGCCTTTGTAATTTATTGATTTGGCAATGCCATAAGTCAGGTACGTGCTGTGATCTAACTATTCACTGTCTGTCACATAAATTCCAAATTAGTTGATTCACGCTTAATTAAGATTTCGCAGTATCCTCCAAAGTGGGTGAAGTGGAGTAAAAGTGTTGATTTAATTCTGAAAGGTAAAGTTTTGTTTAGTGTTTTTGACGTCATTAGTTCGCATTTATTCTTCGCACCTTATCTTGAGATATGTGTGGGTGTTGAGATTAGTTGGATTTACTGGGTTTTTTCACTAAAAACACGCTCGAACTAAGCCTCAAATTAATTCGCAGTTTCGTAGTCAAAAGATTCACATGTTAGTTTTGGTTTGTTTGAAAGCGGAGGAAATTGTCAAGTACTGCTTAAATTTAGTAAGTCGATTGACGTTGGTACTGCCTTGATTGCATTTCGAATAATTGTTGTCAGTCGAGATTCGAAGTATTTATTTATTTATTTCAAGTGGCAGGCGTTTTGAAAGATATCATTAGCCATTTAGCTGGCTTCGGGCTTCACAGGGGGGAGAACAGAAGAGCGATTCACAGTTGTAAAAGAGATAGACGGACACAAAGGTAGAGAAAAAGGTAAGGGGAATACTGTGGAAGGTGTCGAATATGACAACCAGGGGAGGGAGTCGTGGTAGTTAGAAGCCAGAAGTCAATTGCCGGTTAATAGACTTTTTTGCCGTATGAGTATACGTTGCCCAGGGTGCACCACGTGGACATCGGTGGAAACATGGAGCACCTGGGTAACGATCCCAGCACCTCTCGCATGCCAAGCGAGCGCTCTACCATATGAGCTAGAGCCCCACTGATTCGAAGTTAATATAATTAAAATTTTAGAATTTTTAGTGTATTTGTTATCACTAAAATGGCTAAGTTGTATTCCATCTATCCCCTCTCCTAAATTTATTTATTTATATCAAATGGCAGGCGTCTTGATGGTTATCATTAGCCCTTTAGTTGCCTTCAGGCTTCACAGAGGGGAAGGAACATCAACTTGAAAAAGTCGTGAGGGGGAAGAGAGGAGTGTTTCAATGATGTAAGAGACGAACACAAAGGTAGAACAAAGGTGAGGTGAGTACTGTGGAAATGGTCGAATATGGCATAGAGTGGGGTGATGATAGTTTGAAGTGAGAAGTCAACTGCCCATTGATAGGCTTTTTCGTCGTATGAGTATACGTTGCCCAGGGTGCACCACGTGGAGGTAAGTCTATCGCACACCCCCCCCCCTCTCCAAAATCGTATCGGAAGGTAGAGGGTAATTATTGATGTGTGTTAATGTCAATAGTTGAAATTAGGTTTTGCGGGTCATGAGTGCATAGTCGTTTATCTATGTGCGACCTTTGATTTGCATTTGCTGACGTAATCGAGTTATCTACCTTCTAATCTTACTGAACTTGGCTCCAAAGGTTTTTTTCGAATCGCACTACACATTTTGGCAGTAGCAGTTGTGTGATTGTCAGGTTCTATTTATGTTTTAGCACTCAGACTGCTGCAATAGTTCTGATTTCCAAAAATTGTAAAAATTTCAAATGGTTATAACATTCACAAATGCCCTCATCTTTTGTTGTTTCCCCTTCAGGTCAAAAATTAATTGTTTAATTAACTTCGTGCCTATCTCTGTTTTGTTGGTTACAATTCATGTCAATAGTTCAGTTGTTTTGTGTATCAGTTTAATGTCACTAACGATATAAGTAAAATATCTGTATAATTTGAAAATTATCGGTTCGTATTGGAAGCGAAAATAAAGAATATATAAGCCCGTGAATTGTTAGAATCGTTCGATCGTGCGTGACTAGCCTACTACATAAGTTTGAAATGGCCAAATATCCGAATTTCTAATGTTTGCTTTCCATGTTTGTTCTTTTTAGGCAAGGAAAACTAATAGTTGCTGCAAGCTTTTCTAAACAACCCTACATCGCATTCCCCACCCACTCATACCCGCGTAAATTTCTTCCTAAATCTACCCACGCACAAGAAAGTGAGAACGGTCATCTCATTTTTGCCTTCGTCGTGGGTGTCTGATGTCTCCCACACCTTCACTCCCCCTCGACCGGTGGCATGTGAGCTTACACAAGCGTGCATCTTACCTGACGTCTCCTCTCGTATCTCTTACCTCCCTCCGAATCCCACAACCGTCTTCCCCTCAATAAAATTCTCACCTCCACTGTCTCAAAACCCATTCCATTTATGTGTTTGCAGGTGGGCGTTTCGGCAGATCCAAGCGCCTACCATCTCCTCCCTGTTGATGAACTTTAGGCCTCCCGCAGTAAACATAAACTCACTACTTCTAATACTACTGATATTACTATTGTTGATATAGAGAACTTGTACTGTTATTGCTGAACCCCTTGGCTCTATGTGTGAAGCTTGTGTGTACGTTGGTAATGATTTTAGCCTCCCCCCCCCCAACTCTGTGTATGTATAATCTTTAATGCTGTGAATTGCCAATTCTGTTGAGCCACTGAGAGCAAAGAACATAGTTTTGTCTAATTTATATGGTGGTCTTTTGATGCTTACTATGCATCTCACAGTGTAGCCGACGCGTTCCTGTTTAATTTGGTTCATCACTATGTAATTCTATATTGTAACTTTGTTATGGTTATCCCATGGATAATCTCTATGATTGGCTATCTTTGTTTTTTTTAATTAAGGGTTTCTTAATTTAAATGAAATAAAATCGCAATTAGCCCTTTCTGAGTTCCTTTTTGAAAAAAGAGTAGTTTTTAAAATTTCACTTATTAAGAGATGAATAGTGCGAACTTCGAAGGCAAGCTGCTTGTACTCAGTTATTAAGGAGCGCCCTTTTGTAGTCAACTTGCAACCTTGCTTAGGAACTGATAGTTAAGTAGCAACACGAGGTGTAAGTTGTCTACACTTAAGCTTTGTATTTCCGCTTTTCATAACCCAGTTAGTAAGCGGTTAAAAGAACAAATTTTTGAATTCGTCCTTGGCATTGCTCCATTTCAGGAAATGGGATGTTGAAAGTTGGTGTAAACTGAAAAAATGAATAAATAATTATAACTTGTCAGAATTTCTGATAATACATCAAAATCGATATTTTCCATCAAACTTTCCTTTTTAAAGAATCAGTCAAATCTTTATTTTTCACTTCAAACCTAACACTTCCTTGTGCTTTAACTTATTGGCTTTCGGTAATATAAGAAGTAGTGAATGAATAGATGACTATTGTAACTTTAAAATGCAATAATGACTGGTCTAATCAGTTGACTAAACTATTCCAGTTAATTGACATCTGCAGGTGAAATAGCATATATTAACCTTTTACTGATAGTATTTTAAGTAGAACCTTAGGGGAAATCTTTCAAGAGATAAAAAACAATTAACAGATTAGATCTAATTCACCTTTTCTTCTCAAGGCAAATTAGATAATACAAGATAAAATTTTGCTATTTTCATCCGATTTGCATTTTGAAACATGCAGTTTGTGGAGCGCACAACACTATCATTGCTGAACAAAGAAATCTTACGGGCACCAAGACGGACTCGAAGGTGCAAGCGTGCTACTTGCCACATAGGGAGCAAGTGAGGTCGTGAGCGCAGTGACCTTTCAGCCAGCCAATAATTAATAATCCCTACAGCTTTTTTCGCAAACCCTTCGTGAAATTTTAATGACTAATCTCTGTGACAGAAACACGTCCCTACTAAACGTTTGCTTCCTCTGCGTTGCTGCGGAGGTCTTGCCACAGAGCTTTCCGAGGATAAGTCCAAGCTTGATGATGTAGAAATCCACTAAAAGTTTTTAATAAAAAGAAATCTTTCACTTGTCAATTAGGTCTTTAGTGGGTGGATTTCAATTCACTTTGTCAGCGCTAAAAGCCATCTTATGAAAAGCAATGACGCATATAATTTTTATTTAAGGTTAAAAAAGTTACAGGACAAAATAACGTAACTATGTAGACAAATTTATTTAAACGGAGGTAAAATTTACATATTTTTTTGTCACTATGACGTTCATAATTTTTTAAATTATTCATGTCATAGTCAATTAAACTTCATTGCATTATCGTTCCGATGATACATAAAATTTGTTTATTTGGAGGCATTTGGAAACTTGTTAAGAACTTCTCATGTAAATTTAATTGAAATAGTTAAATTATCTCTATTTGATGAGCACTTTATTTAAGTCCTGAGCGAGTAGGCTCGTTGGCTGCTAAAGATACAGTAAAAGAAGATTGTAGGAAACTTCATCAATGACCAAATAGAAATCCTGCTATAGAACACTACTCAGAAATATTTTAGCTATTAATGTTTACACGAATTATGCTAGAGTTATCTGATAACTAATCGCGTTGCCAAACTCAGCACTTCGCTATCAATATACGTACCGAATAAACGTATTCCGTGCTACACGTCTGTTTCCTTTATAGCTGGGCTATGGCTTAGCTGGTTCTGGGAGTCTAGCTAGATGTTGGAGAATCTGCCATAGAGATTTCTGAGTCAGCAGGCTTTACTAGCGTAGCAATCCGCTACAAGATAACGTGGCAATCGTAATTAATCTACTGATCAAAGCATTTCTCTACACTTCCAACTCGAACA